AACAACTCATCATATATTTAATTCTTTTTTTTAAGGGCATGTGACATATAAATATTAGAAATGCTTCTCTCAACACCCTTCAGGTGCTCAGTAATTACAATAACTATGAATGATTACAGATGAAAAACACCATATAAAAGTTAATTGCAAGAAGATTTTGTAAGGAATTTTTCTTCAATTACAAAAACATATCAGTGTTTATCATCCAGATGTATTCCATTTCACACACAGGCTAACAGGCAGAAATACTTAATTGTTAGATCATATAAATATTCAGCTGTTTACAAAATAATTGCAAGATGTACATATCATACTGTAATATACAAAGTTTTAAGAAATAATCAACATATATCAAATCAGGAATCCCTTCTGACTTTTCAAAGCATATGGGAAGTAGAGTATTGTAATAGCTGCAATTTTTCTGCCTATGCAACAAGCATTTAACCTTTTAAACCCTAAGAGAAACCAGTATCTAATTTCTCTTTTCAGTAATACTGTTAAATCTTTCATCAAGATAATGACAATAAGTGTAATGACCACCAACAAAAGAAGCTTTGATTGTTAACCCTTTAACTCCCATGAGTGACCAAGTCAGAATTTCTCTTTACAATATCAATAATATAAATCAGACGAGTGATGAGAATAAAGAAATATATCAACAGGGGATTATTAATATATCAAATATTTAATTCTCCAAACTAACATCATAAGAATTGTATGCCAGAAAGTGAGGAGAATTATTGATGAGATATGGTAGTGAAGGGGTTGGATAAATTCTTCTTGTCAATACCAAACTAAAAGTATTGTGAAGAGTATAGAAAATATCGATATTGATGTTAGAGTGTAAAAGGTTATTTTCTCAACTGCAGGAAATCAGTCACCATGTGGTGTTTTACGAGCCCTAAAAGTTTGACTAACTACTTTTGAATCTGTTCTTGATTGATATGTGAAAATAAAACATTTTCATGGCTTCAAAACATCCTTCCAAAGGGAAAACTTAAAAATTCTTATGCAATATACACATTGGATCAAAGTGCTTCTTCCATCAAACATATAAATACTGCACCAGAGGCCATGTTTTCATAGAAAAAGAATTTTCTAAAAGGCTGTATACATAATAATTTCTGTTAATTATATTATTGCCCAATTCTGTAAAATGAAACTGCCAGCAGTAAAATAAAATAATAATAATAAAATAAATTAGCTCTGGTGGGCCTAAAATGTGAAAAAAGGGGAAAAAAGGACACTATTCAAAAAGGCTATCTCAGAGAAATGGTACCTACAATTGCTATTTTGTGATACAAAAGCAAAACAACAATATCAGGCTAGCAAAGTGTTTGGCCAACATCAATCCTCAATAATAAATCAACATGGATTCATTTGTCTCCTGATTTAGATTTATAAATTGCACAGCTGTACTATTGATTGAAGATTGTGAGGTTTGACTGATACACTGTTGCCTAGCAAGAATTAGCAGTATATCAGTCTTACTGTTGCACTCTTCAGTTAAAGGTTTGTCTCTGTAATTGATCATGATTTTAAATTGAAAAGGCCAATGGTGGAATCTCTTATTTTTTCCTCATCATCAAAACAACAAATAACAAAAAGATCTTTTTCGACAATTTCAATCTTCTATCACCAAGTGGTTTTGTCATTATTTTTTTTTCTTTCCTAGCCTTTTTATTTTTGTCAGGTAGTAAACATGCAATTTTAGTTTGATGATTCTTCAATAAGTTTTTCAGTTCTGAAATGTCTTCAAACTTCGAGGCAAAACACCTTGCAAGCACAGTTCTGAGAAATACTCGATTCACTGTCTAGTTTTAACGCAAGGCAATGCTAAAGGAAATCCCCTCCCCACTCAACCCCCCTAACCAATGCAAAGTTAACCCCACAGGAAACCTACAGGTGTTGACTGGATTCTAAAAATTATATACATATTCACATGAAGACGTCACCTACCAACCTTGCAAAAGATGATCAACATCGCATTGAAATCGGCATGCTGTAAAATTTTAGAATTCCGGAAAACTCGTGAATCCGGCACGCTCTGAGTTCCCGTTCAAATCTAATGAAAAACTTTACAACGCCACTTACGAAGCGGATGAGAACGGGTAAAGAAAAGAAACGTAGCTTATACGTGATTCTACAAATCTCTATGTAAACAAATTACCATGCATGAATTCCATGGGTTTCGCAAACATGGGAAATTTGCATACATCAACCACAGCCACGCCAATCAGCTGTTCCCGGGCTGTTCAACATCCGAGTAAACTTTCAAACAAGATTTCAAACTATGAGCCTTCTCGAAGCGTTTTCCGCACTAGAAGGGCCGTTCGTGACAGCTTCAGTTTTACACTTTGTAGGGGTTTCGAGAAGTTCAGGTTTGTCCCCTTCTAAATGTTTGATTGCCTGAACGATCGTATCCAAATTTTGACGAGAAGTCGTCAGTGATTTTGGCGATTTGTCGTTTGACTTCGACCTGGCGTCCGCTAGATCTAATTCGAGCTGTCTCTTCTTCTCCTCCACGCTGATCCGTAGTCTCCTTTCACGTTCTAGTTGGCACCTTAGTTCAATGAGCTCCTTTTGTATTTCCTCGACGTAATCATCACTTTGTAAAACGTTGTTGTTTTCATCGTCCTTGCTATGTTCCTGTGCACGTGCTTCTTGATCAATTTTAGACTTTTTCGGCGGAGATCTCTTCAGATCCGAGCTGTTCGTTCCCTCTCGATCGCACTGGCTCAATATCCGCTTTAGAGTCGTGTTCTGTTGCAAAAGACGGGTCTTGTCTTGCTCCAAAGCAAAAATATGCTCAGCTGTTTGTTGAAGTATCGCGGCCTGTTCGTAAAATCAGCGAGTATTAGAGGTCAGTGTGAGGACTTCACTTCACGCAGGGATTTCAAACCAGCTTAACTCAATCACTAAAATGAATGCAACATAAATGTAGCAGGAAATACCTTGCTTAGTTTTTCGCCTTCGCTGTGCGGAATCAGCAATCTCAGTGCTTGGAAACCGGAGTTAATGCTTTGCATACGTCGTCTTTCGTTTGAGTTTGCAATTTCCCGCCGCAATTTTCGCTCCCGCTCACGATTATCCACCACTTCAACTTTAAATCTGCAACAAATTAAGACAACGAAGGTGCAAAATGAAATGGCATGAGCTATTTGATGTGAAAATAAAAAACAGAGATCGTGAAATACACCGGCCGAATTTCCAATATTTTTACCTGTTATCGTCATCCTCGTATAGCTCGTCCGCCTCGTAAGATTTACGTTTCTCTGTCGTTCGCGCATAAAATGACATCGCATTGACCTCTCAAAAGCACGCAATTTAGATGAAGACCTAGTCTCTTAAGCTGAAGCCAAGGATTGAGAAAAGCGTGAAGCTTTTCTGCAATTCAAGCCAAACAAGCGAACGAGTATCAGTCTTAGAAGACCACCAAATCGGCGGGAAACAGCTGGCTTTAGTGATCAGGTGACCGAGACCTAAAGCAGAAAATTTGAATGCGGCACAGCAGAGGAATGCCATTTGATAAGCTATTAAGAAGATATTGTTTGATCATAATTACATTTTCAAAAGTTTTAATTTACAAGGCAACAAGCCAAGGTTCTGATAAAAATAAGTATTTTCCTACAACAGACTTACTGTTACTTTATTTCCAATTTTTCAGAAGTACCTCATACGAATAATGTAAGCATCAAATCCACACAGACTCTGAAATTGAAAAGAATTTCTTGTTAAGTCTTTGAAACAATGCGCAACACTCCCTGACCAATCAGGGCTAACTTCAAAATACAATATCTACAAGTATACATAATCATTCAGCCGGGACCGAAAAACAACTTTCCCTTAAAATTTCATTGGTTTCCAAAGGGCATCATCAGCTGGGGATGAGGGATATAATCAGCTGTTTTTTGTTCTTTGCTTCAGCAAAACAGCCAAATCCTGTTATTTCGAAGATGAAACATTTCATATTTACAAGTTTCATTACAAGACAGCTGAACTCGTAATGCAAAACTAGAGATCTCAATTGCATCTACATAATTTCTTGCCTATTCCAATCTTAAGTTAGTACATAAATGATGATGCAGTATAAATTGAGGAAAGAGGGAAGTGGAGGTTGCCGGTTGGAACAATTCGTTCTTTTCCTAAGATCAATATTTTGTGGAAGAAATAAAAAAATGAAATAAGAAAGAAGAAAACCCCCTGTATCATTTTGCCAGATTACTACTCTCTTGATTGTGGAGAGTAGGGGTGGATCCTCGAGTTAATGGCATGAAGCAGAAACAATACAGTCATATTCTTGTATGCTACCTCTTCTTAGGCGTCTCTTTTTTCAGGGTATTACTTTCTTCCGCTCAACATCGTAAAGCGATTGAACAAACACGCATTGCGAGGACATCCAAAACAGTTGCGTGGGAAGCCCGCACGTGATTTTATCGAGGCGCGGTTGCCAAGCCACAGACTTCACAATGATGAGTTCTTCGACTTCGATTATTCAAGCGAAGGACCATACTTCAAGTATCTACCGGAAGAAATCCTCAAGAAGTAAGTCTTTTTTCTCGCTAAAGACTATCTTAAGTATTATGTTTACAGTAGGGTTCAAAGTTACCCCTTTTTTGAACATCTTGTCGTGCGTGATCAAGTGGTACACATCCACAGCATCATGTGATACATTTCATTAGATGAATTTCGTATGTTTGATTCGATAACAAATTCTCCACGGACCGTTTTGTACAATACTTCTAACGTTAGTAACAAGCAATCTTAAACATTTCAATCGCTTAAGTCGAGTCCGTTGGAGAGAAAGACAGAGCGAAGAACTTTCAGAGCTTTATTATCACCGCAAGGCCAATAACTGTGAAATGGTTAGGATTGTGTGTTGTAAACATAATCACGAACTTCAAAATTTGTTCGAAATATCTGTGAAGTTAAATTTAATTGCGTCTCATATAATTACTTTAAAAGTTTTGCAGTGTTATGTTTTGTTGAATTTATACTGTAGCGATTTGATCTTAATGAGATGCCTACTGTAAGTATTGACAGAACGTCTGATTTCGTGTTGTTTTGAGATTTTAAGAACTGCGTCTCTGATGCTAATACATACTTCTTTTCAGCTCTGCTTCATCAGATGAGACAATTTCTTCTCAATCACTATCCATTATGGCTTTTAAACAGCACACAGACTTGACACACAAAATCATGGTCTGCATCTTGCTCATCTTGTTGAAAACCAATGTCTTTTCCAATCATAGATCTCATTTAGCTGCAGTACTTTACTTATCTTTACAAATTGATTTTCCTAAAGAGCCCCTCAGATAGCCAAAAATTTCCGTGGTCAAATTTTGTGGTGAAATTTAGGGTATAATTTAAAGAATGTATCCATGTAAATGATAATGCAGCTCCTTATGTCAAGTGTCTTCTTTGGAATCCTTTGGCCTTAAAGTTATTTGACATTCACCTGGTGGTTAGCCTTAGTAACTGACACTCCAGTGAGTGAGTGAGTGACAGAGATTTTAACTTTAGGAAAATAAAAAGGCAGGTTTTTAGTTTCGCAAAGCTGCAGCCTTAAGGACTAAAGGGAGGAAAACATAGAAGTGTCATCTGGCATTTCCGATGAAAATTTTGTCAACAAAGGCCTCCAAGATTTCATTTCCTGTATTCTGAGTTCACCCTTGTATGAAGTGGAGGTAATCCATAGCATAGACCAAAGCACAGACTTATTCCAGTATGCTCCTTTGTGCAAAAGTTAAAAATCTTAAGGTGGCACAGAAAGATGATAGAGAATCACATTAAAAAGACTGTTGAAAGGAGGAAAACACTTTTACTCCTTTTCCAGAGGAAGGTTTCAACGAGGAGAATGTTGTATGAAAACTTGAGGCCAGAAATGAAAGAAAAGAGTAGGTCTCTCTGCAAGGGTTGAAATCTCTAGAGTGAGCAGTACTGAATAGATGTTAAATTTCAATGGATTTCAAATCAAAATGGTTTTAGACCAGTTTGATCAGTATTGTACTATATCCCAGTTACATCACCATAATCCTGAAACATTGAAAATCACAGACCAAACCAGTTTGATTTCATTTGGAGATGAAATAATTCTAAGCTAAATTATTTGTGCAAGGGGTTATTCATTTCTCAGCTTTCATAACTGCATCTAAGACTTGCACTGAAAATCCTAATAACTACTCATTAAATATAACATTCTTTCTCCCTTGAGTAATAGATGTCAGAGGAAAATGATCAGGAAAGTTCAAAATTACATCTAAAAGAGGATGCACAAAAGGAAGTTCATGGCAACTTGCAGCTAGACAAATGCACCAGTGACTTAACTGTGGTATCTACTGTCTCAGAAATGCTAGATCAGGGGGATGTAACGTCAGTCATGACAGATCTTTCAGCAGAGGATTCTGTTCTACATGGGTCATCAGTTCTTAATGAAACAGAAGCAATTGCTTCTTCTAGTGACTTGGAAAGTTCTCCCTGCCTCTCAGATACGCCAGTTTCAGCAGATTTGCTTTCAGACTCTTCAGTCATAAACTCAACTGTAGGGCTACTACAACAGCCTGTTGTGTTGACGTCATCTGTGTTGCCATGTGTGCTGACTCATGTGCAAGGAACTTCAGAGCTCCTTGCTGGTGAACTACAAGAGAGAGGAGAGGCTCAGGAGGAACTGTTAATGGTAAAAAGGGACGACAGAGAGGTCCTGGAACCTTGTGTTGTGGTAAGTCCTTTTAAAGGTCAAAATGAATCATATCCAAGTTGTGAATATGAACTTAAATATCTATAATGATAGTTTTCTTTAATATATTTGCTTCCTTAGATAGTTTTTGTAGGTAACCAGAACATGATTATGAGTATGGAAGAGAATTTAGTTCATTTAACCCTTTCACTCCCCAGATCTCATCAGTAATTCTTATCACCATCTGCCCTACAATTCTTAGAAAGTTGGCTTTGGAAATTTATGTTATCAACTATGTTGTTAAAACCAAATTATCTTGTTTGTGAGCCCCAAACCAACACAGCAAATAAAAAATTCCCCCCTTTATTCTTATGATCCTAGTTTGTAGAAGTCAGTATTGGATCAAATGATAATTCTGTAATTTATATTTTTCTTTATTCTCATCACTTGTCTGCTGGATATTGTACTGATATTAAATAGAATAAGAAAGATGGAAAGTTTTGAGTTTGGTTAAGAAATAGAGAAAGATGTTTTTGCTTAGGGTTAGGGCTTAGGTTTAGGTTTAGGATTCCATGAGGAATTGAACATCAGGCCTTTGGATTCCTTGCTCTGATGCTCTACCACTGAGCCACAGAGACTTTATGGTGGGCAAGGCCCATTACAATTGTCATATATGACAAGAGTCCTGCATACTGCTTGGATTGGCTATGTTGATAGCCTCGTGCATTATATATGAGGCTGAGGTTTAATTCCTCATGGGAAATTTTTTCTTTGTCGCATGCTTGTGACAAAGACAAAAAACATCTTTCTCTGTACTGATATTGGTAGGGGAAATTCTGTCATTTTCCTTGATTTCTTTCCACTTGCACAACAGTCATGACTAGGAAAGAGTGGCTAGTTGCATTCTTAGCACTCTGTTATGGCCCAATAACAACTTTATCTTATCAGAGAACTAATATTGAACACAAACTTTGTGTTTGATGACTACATGTACCTCACTGTGGTAAATTCCACTGAAAACTTTGCTAATTGACTCATGAGATTGCAAAGTGCAGTAGTGCACTTTACATTACATTCACTTAGGATTTGATTTGCTAAATGTAACTTTTATGGTTAATGCAGTGGGTACAAATTCAGAGGGGTTTTTTTTTTTTTGAATTGTTGTAACCCAACATAATAATCACTCAGAAGCAATGGAAAAATATTTCAAGAATTCAATTGGAGGTCAGACTGAGCAAAGGCAAGGCAATCACAGACAGTATTTTTATACTAAGGGACCTGACCAGAGAAGGGAATCAGATGATTTTGGTTGTGTCACAATTTCATATTTACTTGATCTACCCATAAGGCTCTATAATATTCTCGAGAATTCCCCTCCCCCC